ACTTAATTATTTAAGCCCATTCAGATAATCCAGGATGTTCTTTCCCTTTGAGATCTTCAATTAAGTCACATTTGCAAAAACTCTTTTGCTGTGGAACACCTGCTCCAACATTTTTGGCATCAGGAACTGGTTTCATGAAAGGCAATTTTTCTAAAAACAGGTTCTGAACAGCCTGGAACCCGTACTCATCCATGGCAGGGGTGTGGGGCCCCTGCTATTAAAAGGAACAGTGATGGGAGATTAGAATGTAGCTATCTTTAGGGAACCATTCTTCAGCCTAACACAAAACTTTCACCTCCACTAGGTGAAACTAAATTTTCCCTCCTTCCTCCACTCTTTTGAGTATGGGCCATCTTAAAGACCAACTTTCAAAGAATGTAGTACGAAAAAAGAAATGACTTACAGGGAGAAAACTGCAAACACTGCCTTTGCCATGTGGTCAACTCATGCAGATAGCTTACACACAGTAGTGTGATAGGATAATAAGGTTAATTCATCCTGGAGGTATTCTTCCACCAAACCTATGACCCAGTCTACTCTAGACATCCAAAAGAAAAAAATCAGCTAATCCAAAGTTGAAGGACATTCTGAAAGTATCTGATCAATACTCCTCAAAAGTCTTTCAAGGTCATACAAAAAAAACAAGAAAAGATTGAAATACTGTAACACACCAGAGAAAACTAAGGAGATTTAATTTATGCCTAAAACTAATGTGTTATCTTAAACTAGATCCTGAAAGACAAGATGAACATTAGTAGAAAAAATATTGAAATCTGAGTAAAATCTCAGATAATAATGGTAATGTACCATACTAATAGTAATGTACCATTATTATTTTCTTGACTTTGACAAATGTATTATGGTTATGCAGATTGCTAACAGTAGGATAAAATAAATAAGGGACCTCTCTCTATTATCCTTGTACCTTTACTGTAAATCTACATTTATTTCAAAAACAAAAATGTAAGATATTAAAATAAATTGAATAACAAACCTATATACCAATTGTTGGCCTACTAAATTAGCAGAATTGTTTTTTAAAAGTTAATCCAATGTTGGAAAGGATGAGATGCAATAAACCATCCCAAACATTAATGGTATTTCTTCAGAAAAACCACCAGGTATCAGATTTCTTAGAAATATCCATACCCCAAAATATTCAATGCTACTGTCTTGAAGAGTATATTTTAAAAGACTATTCTAAAATATATAATTTCTTCCCAGGTGTCTTGGTTACTTTTCTTGCTGCTGAGACAAAATACCCAATGCCTGAAATTAAGGGAGGAAAGTTTATTTAGCTCATAGTTTATAGAAGTTTCAGTGCATAATCACCTGGCTCCAAGGCAGGATGGGCATGGCAGAGGGGCGACCATTCAGAGTGGTGGAAGACAGCAAAAGCAACAAGAGCAAAAGGGGAAAGTAAGCCTCTTTTCCTCCCTTATATTGTATGCAGGCTACCCACCCTAGGGAGGGTATAGCACTCACACTACCAAACCCAGCACTAGACAATAACCGATCACAAATCACAAACTCTAGATTCAATTGCTTCCAAAAAGCCACCTCCATAACCACCTGAAGCTTTGGGGGGACATTCAGACACAAATCATAACAGTCAAATATGCAACAAAGATGCTTCAGTAGCTCTAATAACATATATTTGTATCTGTAACACAAAATGTGCAGGCATCTTAAATGTCCAGTGACAAAAGAGTGTAGCAGAGCCTCAAGGAGAGTCCCCTGGGCTCTGCCACATTGCAGAACAGATTACAGAATCATTGATCCTCTCAGTCTTCAAAGCTGATAATTAGATCTATCTGTGCAGCCAGAGCTGCAGGACACTTGCCTCTGGCCTTGAGCAGTTTATCTGTTCACCTCAGAACGTCTTAAAAATAGTTTCTTTCTGGGGTCCATAATATAAAAAAAGAAGCATTTTACAGCATATAGGTTAACTGCGGCTATCTTACACAACCATTAAAATAGCTATAAAGAAATCCTAATAAAAAAGCATATCAGATTGTTAATAACAAAAAAGAGAGTACAGAGGTGCATATAACATCTAACTTGAAGATGTTTTAGAAACTATGTTTAGAACAATGACTTAATAGTTGGCACAATCTTTGTGGTTTCCTTCTAATAATAGACCATATATATATTCCTTTACATTTTCGGTATTTTCCAAGTCCTCACTAATTACTGCTCATTTTTAAAAAGCTAAAAAATATTTGTAAGATCTTTAATGGTAAAGTCCATAACGAAAGAGTACAAAAATAGTACAAGAATAGTGCTCGATTCCAACTAATCACCTATGGAATGATTCTTTAAAAATAAACCTACCATCATATGGTATAGTAATGATTATCAAAGACTTGATTACACTGTGAGCTGCCTGTTTTTCCTACTTTTTAAATTACTTCAAGCAATCCACAGAGGCACCATCATCAAAGACTTGGTGGTTCCTGTAATGAATGAAGCAGAGACCACTCCACAGGCTTTCACAGAAGCACCAAGGCATATGATTTACTCCCTGGGTGCAGGCAGATAAAGGGTGATAAGGCTGTCTGTCCAGAACAAAGGGAAGTGGGTTCCCTTTACAGAGACTGAGAGAAGGCAAGGGACATTAGGTGGGAAGATTCTAATAAACATCTGTGGTCAAAGTTCTCTGTCCGGCAGTCTTGCACTTCAGTGGGCCTCTGGATGTCCAGAGACCTGCAGGGTTCTTTGTCTTATCTTATCTCCTTTACGACATCCTGTGTTTGCAGACAACGATCTTCGTGCAAGAATAATACCTCTGCAGGCAAACAGGTTGGGGGCTGGGAGAGTCAGGTGCATTCATTCTTACAGCGACCTGTGTAGATACGAAGTAAAGAGTATCCCCACCTAAGAGCAATTGAAATAGAAGACTTCTGTGGTGTACTCCAAAATTTACCCTTTGTGCCCCAATTCATACAATTACTGATTATCGTTAGTGTTAAAACCCCATGTATTTCAAGAAATTCTTCACTACTGAAAGAAATTAAATCCCATGATTCTGTAATATTACCAATGTTGACATATTTTACCATTTTAGATTTAAAACTTTGAAGTTCCGTACTATATATCCTTCTGTTTGCCAAGAAGATTTCTCTATAATCAAGTAACAGCTGCAGCCAAAAGAAGAGAAGGAAAGATAGTGCACGCAGAATTTTCAATTTGGATAAGTATGAGCTCATAGCTATTAAAATTAAAAAAACAATGTTTATTTTTATGTATTACTAAAATATAAAAGAGAGGCAGTCATTCTAAGGTGGGGAAGCAAAGATTTTAGAGAAACTGGGGTCCAATATTTGTCATATTGTTTATATTTTAAATTATATTTGACATGACATTACCCAGAAGATAATAATCAGAATTGAGAATAATTCATAGACACTCTTTCCTTTTAGTCTACCAGTTTACTTACTTTGGGCCATTGATTTTCCTTTATAGTATAAATTAAGAGTGCTGGAGGCCAGGGGAGAAAAGAAGTTATAATTTAAACAATTAAATCTTTTCAATTATAATAACAATTTTCTATAAATAGAAAAAAAGTATAGAAAGATGATCTGCTCTAAGAAAAAATTTCCAGAATTTTTTGATACTTTCCATTTAAGTATACCTAGCTGAAAACATTTATTATGAAAATTTCCTAGTGTTAAATATTCAATGTATAGTTAATGCTATGTATTTAATGAAATACTACTGAGCATACTGTATAAGTCAAAATGGAAGGCAACATAACTCAGTATTCAAAGCTGTATAAATGCCTCAAATAGAGTTTTTGACAAAACAGGGGGGAAAGGACAGAGTTTCAGATGTATATATTAGTCAAATGAATAAACCAATAAAAAATTTTGCTTCTTTAGATTGTTGCTCTTATGCTCTGTGCTACAAGAGTTCACTTGGGAAACAATTGTGCTTTGTCAAAATGCAATAAAACTGTATAGCAGTTAAGTGTGTTCGGAAAAATTGAGAAATTGAACATGTTGAAATTTTGAGGAAGGCTTTTTTAGGAGGGGGCTTAATTCAGACTGAGAGGACAGAGAGAAAAGAAAAAGAAATTGAGAGATAAAGAAAGAAGAAGATAGAAGGGAAGGAGGAGGCGGGAGAGTAGGGAGAGAAAGAATAAAAGAAGGAAAAGAGATAAACTGTATTTTTGCTTTCAATTAACTTTCCTATTAGGAAGCCTGAGAAGAAAGATTAAAGGATTCATCACCTGCTGAGATTTGAAGATTATGAGCATTGTTCAAATAAAATGCTCTATCAACCCTATAAACTTAGCAAAAGGATTTAAAATAAAGGAAATTAAATTTCTATCCAAGCTAATTGCGGTTTTCAGACAATGAAAGACTTGATATCCTTCAGCAGTTTTTCCTTTCGTTGATCATTATGAATGCCAGGACATGTTTTTCCTGGCCAGCCTCCCCTACTGTACTCAAGAAAATCTACAAGTACTCATGAATAAATGCTTCCCTGGAAATTTTACATACATGTGATATACTGACATTTAATAACCTTAATTCTATTGTTTATTTGTGAAATTAAGGTCAATTCATTTATATTTAAATTATTACTATTTATGACATGCTCAGAGATCATCACAGGGACCGAGGGCAAACAAACCCCTGCACCCTTAAGATGTTACTCCTTGCCAGCATGGGGCTTGTGTTTTGGGATGCAATCAGGGACTTAAAAGCATTTTTGCTAAATACTTTTCACTTGGGCCCACAGATCCTTAATAGGAAACTAAAAACAGAGCAAAGTTTGACCTTCATTTTGTAAATCTCTGGGTCAAATCCTGTCTCAGCTCTGCACATACGTATGTATGTTAGTCACTTAGGAAATGTCTGTCTAAAACTCGGGAAAACAAGGCTTATTGCCCTTAATTTATTCAGCCTTCCTTATCCCCCTTCAAAACTGAGGCCACCAAGATAAGAGGTTTACAAGAGCATGCAGTATACCCAGAACTCTCCACTGCCCTAAAGCAAGGGTCACTTTGGATTCCAGCACAGCCTCCCTAGACTGAGACTTTCCCAAGAAAAGGTAATCATCTCATAGCAGCCTAATTACCCCCCAAACCATAAAGATTTCTCCAGAGCTACAAAGCCAGGAGTGAGACCGTGATCAAACAGACTCCAGCTGACCATGGGACTTCATAAAACTGATCTCTGCTCCTTTGCTTGAGGGCCAGTCTGATCCTCTTCTTCAGACCTGTGCCCATTTTATTGTAGACAGCTACGCTAGCTAAGACTATTATAGGCAGTCTGACAGGGCTAGACCCTGAAGGGAGTCAGGGCAGAGCATGGGAACACATTACAACTGCGGCCAAGGGTGCATCTGTTGTAGGCTGGGCCTTAAGATAAAGACAGAATGACCAGGCCTACGTGCCTCCCTGAGGGATAAGATAACTGGTACCACCTGCTCCAATAAAGTCTAGATAGATATCAATCACCCCAGTGGGTGATGAAGACCTCCGAATCCATCCCTTCTTAAGAATGGTTTCTGCTCTTTCCACATACCTTGCTGTGTGACCAGCCTCCCCACTGGATCAATATTATGTAAGTGACTATGTTTGTGATCTTACTGTTCATAGTTTTGTCCCACATTGTTCCTACCTTGTGATTTTGTGCCCACTTTGTGATTTTGATCTATAAATACTTCCTGTGAAAAGTAGGCTCATTGGCAACTCATTTTCGGGTCCCCTCCTGCCTCTCAGGAGCTATCTCTCTCAGTAAAGTTTTCCTACTCTCAACTTTTGTTATTCCTTAAAATTTATTCTTTGATTTTGGGGAACATGAATTTGGCATATCTGACATCTAGCAGGTTGGGGGTTACATTTATTTCTCCTATATCAATGTCAGTTCCTCAAACTGAACACTTTCCTTATTTTCTCTTATTTCCTTTTGCTAGGGAACTAAATTGGACTTTGTCAGAGCTGTGTCATCACCCTTCTTACTTTATAATTAAATTATTTTCCTGCAAATTCATTCTGAATGCCTCAGTCTTAATTTCCATTATTACTGAAGCAAGGACCCACTTTGGTGGTGATAGTTACAATACTATAAGGAAATGAGAAGATGATTTTAAAATTTTGTTACACCTTCCACTATGTAAGGCACAAGAGCTAGAGTAGTGAAAAGGGCTCAGATTTCAAGGAATTTAAGATTTATGCTTTCAAAACAAAATATCAAATCGTGGGAGCATTCCACTTCACTCACCTCCAAATTACCCAATCATTTAATTTCCCACTTCCTGTGTTGCTCATCACTAATCATAAGAAAACTGGTATTAGATGAAAAAAGTAAAGACACCATCCAGATTATTAACTTATAGGCTCCAATAGATGAGAGGCCTTAGACTTGCTGTCTTTTAGGGTTTTATAATACTAAATCTCATAGAAATGTGAGATGGGGCAGACAGAAGAATCAAGAACATGAAAGTTCAAGAAAAAAAGTGAAGAATTAAGAAAGGGCAGCTATTTTCCTACTGACCAACTGTCTCTTTTACCTTAATTATAAATTTGCTGTGGTCTAAGATAACCCAATATTAAATGTGGAATAGTCAAAGCTTATTTATCAAGACCCACAGGGACCCTTGATTTCATCCTTTTAAATCCTTTCATAATTACTTTAGACCCTTTCGTGTCTCCCACATGGAAAATCCCAACCTTTTAATGCTCCCTTTCCTAACCCCTTATCTCTTCTCCAGTAACTACCACACTCTATCGCTTACACCTTTAGTTTACTTTTTTTTTTTTTTTTTTTTGTTTTTTTTTTTTTTCTCCGGTACCGGGAACTGAACTCAGGACCTTGC